ATAGGCAGGTCAGCTATACAAAGAATAAGCAGAGAGACATCTGAATTAAATGACATCTTACATCAAATGGACCTAACAGACAGCTCCACAATATTGCACCAAAGCACCAAAGAATACACTTTCTATTCAGCAGTACATGCAAATTTCTCTAAAACTGACCCCACACAGGGGCACAAAGCAAACCAACCATAAAAAAAAAAAAAAAAAAAAAAATTCCAAGTGTCTCTCCATTCTCAGTGTCAACTTCATATGTACTTAACCCTCCCAGCAACATAACTGAAAATAGCTATTCAGAGGAAATGTACAGGAACATTTTATTTGGGGAATCAAAGTGAATAGATACCAGAGATGAAAACTTGACTGAAAATTTCTATCATCTCTTTCTCTCTTGCTTGCCCAACACCAATAACTTTAAGAGGTAGAAAAGCTGGATTATTCCTGAACATGCTTAAAGACAAAGTATATGGAATTTATTAGTATGTATTGTAAAAGAATGACTTGCTAGAAATTACCTATGAAGTTTTGTGGCTTATCAAATTAAATCATTAAATATCTTAAATACATTTTCCTTTCTTCCAAGCCTATAAGTTTTACTTTAGATTTCTTGATAATAGAATGCAATTTAATACCCTTTAAGGAAAGAGAATTTTGTTCCACCTATCGGCATCCATGTATTTAGTTATGTGTGCATACTAAATATGGAATGGTATATTTATAATATGGTTTTTTGGAATGGTATATTTATAATAAATACAAATGAGCTTTCCAATTTTCTTTGCTCTTTCAATTTCTGCTTTCTTATTTTTCCAGTGCTAGGGCTTCAATCCAGGGACTCCCACGTGCTAAGCAAGTGCTCTACCACTGAGCTGCATCCCCAGCCCTTCAATTTCTAATTTAGGTATAAGCAGAAAATATTTTTACATTTGACAAACAAATAGCTCAACTAATTTGTTAAGCTTGTTCTCTAAAATTTTGGCTTGATGTCAACCAATGAAATTTTGGGAGCATAGGAATTATATTCCTGAATAATAGAATATACTGGTTTAAAGAGGCTCTGTAGTTTTCTATTAACAAGAAAAAAGGTTGACTTGATTCTAGATGATATTACGTGATTGTTTCATCATGTGATTACTGTTTTTGTTTTGATCAGATGTTACAAATATAAACAGCTTTTCAGTTCATTTAGAATTTATATATATGTATATATATGCATATATATTGTTAGACTGCAACTTTTCTGAGTAGGACAAGTGAGTGTAAACTATATCGGTCTTTTTTTTTTTCCTTCTA